ATTTTATTACTGTGTTTGAGTGCGCCTCCATTTGTGATATTTCTCTATGAGCATACATTTCTGGCTACAAACGATATATAATACACCCACTGAACTGCACTGCTGGAGTGCAGATATAATAACCCAGCTGGCGACCTTGCTAAGAGGAAGATAGAGAAGACAGGCGGGAAAGGAGTTCCTGCAAACTTTTTTTTTGTCTGGCAGGCAAGACTCAGGGAGGTTATGGTTATAGGTAAGCCTGAGTCTTCCTTCACTCCCCCACGGGTCTAGGCCGGAACTGTTAACAGCAATTTCCCCGTGGTTGACTGAAGGGCTTCCAGGGTGAATCAGTGGCACCCCTTTGTGGCGGAAGCAAAGACCTGCGGAGGTGGGCATTGTTGGTCCTATCTTGTGTGACCAAGGAGACTCCGGTGAATCCAGGGAGTCGGAGGGGCTGAGTATTTGGGCCCTTTGAGCCCCTAGCAGCCGAGTGTTAGCAGAGCCCCGGACCGCCCACCCCCACGTGACACATAGTAGGCTGAGAAGTGCATTCTGGCTATTAGGTACGACATATATATATATATGTCGTACCTAGTAGCCAGAACGCACTTCTCAGCCAACTATGCAAGGCCTGATTTGCCTAATAAGCCAAGTTTTCATTAAATAATTGTTTTTCGACTACCTAACCTACCTAACCTAACCTAACCTAACTTTTTCTGCTACCTAACCTAACCTAAGCAATAAAGATAGGTTAGGTTAGGTTTGATAGGGTTGGTTAGGTTCGGTCATATATCTACGTTAATTTTAACTCCAATAAAAAAAAATTGACCTCATCCATAATGAAATGGGTAGCTTTATCATTTCATAAGAAAAAATTAGAGAAAATATATTAATTCAGGAAAACTTTGCTTATTAGGCAAATCGGGCCTTGCATAGCAGGCCGAGTACGACGTTCTGGCTACTAGGTACAACATATATATATATATATATATATATATATATATATATATATATATATATATATATATATATATATATATATATATATATATATATATATATATATATATGTATATACTAGATTCTTCAACATATTTCTAGCTGGCAACATACCAAAGACCATACGGCCTCTCATATTTGGCGCTACCCTCTTTGCCCTGAGGAAAAAAGATGGAGGAATCAGACCGATAGTTGTGGGCAATTCACTCCGGCGCCTCGTCGCTAAGGCTGCTGCCAGAACAGTTAGTCAGGCAGCAGCCGACATGCAGAAGCCAAAACAGCTTAGGTTTGGCATTCCCCAAGGGTGTAAGGCAGCGGCTCATGCAGCTAGAGCCTACATTGTCAACATTACGGATGAAAAAGCTCTGATAAAACTGGACTTCAAAAATGCTTTCAATCTGGTATGCGGTTTGAGCATATTTCTAGAACTACTGATCTTATTTTTTCCAGGCACTGGTTCAGGTTTACATTTTCTAGCTGTTCTTCCCAGTTTATTTCTGTGAAGTCTTGATTTATTTGCTCTCAGTTTATCTGTTTATTATTGAAGTTGAATTTGCTGAAATCTCCTCCACCGGAAATCGGGACTGGTTTTGAAGGTCTATTCCCGATGCTTGTCAGAACTTCAATTAAGTTGTGATCTGAGTAACAAGTATTTGTAATCATTATGCTCCTGGTCAATTCACCATTATTGGTGAAAATGAGGTCCAGCATGTTCTCCTTCCTAGTTGGTTCTACTATTTGCTGTTTTAAGGCAAACCTGTCGCACATCCGTAGCAGGTCATTTGCATGAGCCTGCTCAATTAGGCTACTTCCTGGTATTCTTTCTGATATTACTGTATTAGTCAGGTACTTCCCTTTTAGGTGCTGTAGGTTGAAGTCCCCAAGCAGGATGATGTTCGGGGCTGGATTTGTGAGGTTTTCCAAGCAGTGCTCTATTTTCATTAATTGGTCTTTAAACTGCTGAGGGTTTGCCTCCGGTGACTTATATACAAGGACAATAACTACATTTAGGATCTCTATTTTGATTATCAGCACTTCCACCATATCATTTGTGGTGTTTAGCAGCTCAGTACAGATGAGTGTGTCTTTGATGTAGAGGTTGACTACACCCCGTAACCGGTGTTTCCTATCACATCTAAAAAGATTGTACTCTGAGATCCATATTTCACTATCATGGTAGTTCTTTGTGTGAGTTTCCATTAGGGCTGCAAACACTGCATTTGCCTCATGAAGGAGACCATCTATAAAACGAACTTTGTTGGATTTGCGTGTTTTTATACTCTGGACGTTGGCAAATATAAATGATGTTATCGTGTTTGTGAAAGTGCTGGATGATTTACTTGGAGTAAATGCAGTGAAAAAATTCGCCCAAAGAATGTGATATGTTTACCATATTTTTCTTGGTTTGAAAATATGGTCAAGGTCTTGAAACTTTTTGAAATACATGTATTGTTTAGTTACGAAAATACTGTTGGTAAACTATTAGTCAGAAACAGCACTCGTAGTGATAATTGTGTCTTTTATAAAATACCTTGTAAAGACTGTGATGATAATCTCTTTCAAGAGAGATTGAGCCTGCTCTTCCCTACAAAGTACGTAAATATACAAGATAATATAGAAGATACGTCCAGCAAGTATCGCCAAACGTTTTGCCCAGAGAGCAAATCGTACCCAGCACACAGTGACACCTGCTAGCTACCACCGCCGTAACCAGCAAACTGCTCGTCCTTGCCTGCCTGTCGCTGATTGGCTGGTGTCCCGTCGCACCTGCCCTCCGCCCTCCACCACAAGTCGATGTCTGGGCTGCAGTGCTCCAGTATCGTCAGAATATCTCAGTGCTCCTTGCAGTTGACATCTCTCGCTGGTAGACTAAGCCTTGGCTTTCGTGTACTAAGGGAGGTGGCAGCTCGAAGCCAATATTTTAGCTCCATTAATATTTATTTTGCTATCACTGTAACTCACTTGTCTTAACGTAACTTTTCATTTGCCAGTGATTATTCATATTATTTTGTTTGTTGACTTGTCTTTTATATTTTATGTGCTTAACTTTATTCATGTCTTGTTTTTCTAAAGTAATTAAAATTTCATTGTTAATTTACTTGTGTTTTGTGTGTCTTCCCATTACCTTACCACAGACGAAAGCTCCAGCTTTTCTCTTTTTTTTTTCTTTTATGTGACGAGGCCCTGCCCCTAGCTTTTGAAACAGCCGAACACCAACGCTTTACCGTCACAAGACTGAAATAGGTTCTATGTTGGGCAAACACCTAAAGACTTGAAATGTAAAATTTTGCAACATAAATACTCTGTAAGACACGGCCAATTGTCTAATGCTTTGTTTGTTCATTTGCCAGAAAATTCTTACCAAATTGATTTGGAGATGACTTCTTGAATAACGAATTGTAAAATCACTTACAATAGGAACATAATTGAATCTGCTTTAATACAGATTACCAAAAAAATGTAATTTGAACATTAGCAGTGGTTTATATAACTTAAATCCATTTTTAATTGATCAATTAAAGGCCGATTTGAATGGGCCTATTTATGCAGCTCTTATTTTATGGGCCCATAAATCATTAGTGTGTATGAATGGGAGTTGCCTCGTATGGGCCAATAGGCCTTCTGCAGTTCTTATGCGGCTCTTATTTATATCCACCTAATTCCCATTCATTTTTCATTGTACCTCACTTCACTTCATCTCTCTCTCCTGCCTATATATATGTCCAATACTTGACTTGTTAATAATTCCTTCTGAAGATGTATTAATATACGAAACTACTAAAGGAAATTCCTGTTTCAATTCTCCCTCCGTGGTCTGACACTGTCATATATTTATAATATTATATGTATACAGTAAATTTATAATATTACATGTATACAGTAAATTTATAATATTATATGTATACAGTAAATTTATAATATTATATGTATACAGTATATTTATAATATTATATGTATACAGTAAATTTATAATATTATATGTATACAGTATATTTATAATATTATATGTATACAGTAAATTTATAATATTATATGTGTTTATTTGTTCTACTTTATGGGCAGGTACTTATCGCACGGTAGAGGGTGAGGGTCCCAGTGGGATGTACAGTTGACACGGTGTTGTCCCAGGTCGCGGGCTGGATGTCGTCAGTTGCCAGTTACTTGAGTTATATCATTGATATATTAATATACCTGTATTACCAGAAGGGATTTTCTGCTTAATTTTCGACTTGCAATGGTATTTACTTTCTCTATTACTCATTCCTAGATCCACATTTCCCCTATTACACTTGTTGGAAACACATTACTAGCAAGAACACACGCACGGTGGGTACACGGGACGTGGGCCTACTCTCGGGATGGCCCACATTAATACACAACGGACTTATTTTGTGTATAATGTGTTCACTTGACATTAAGGTATGCTATCTTAATTTTTACAGTTGACATAATTGTTCACATAGAGAGTTTAGCACAGTGGACAACTATGATTTTCTTGATGTTTCAGTAAGAAGGATGCGATTTTTTGTTTTTGTTATTCAACAAAACGTCTTGGCAACTTTTGCCTCCGAACTCCTGGCTGCACGAGGGCAGGCTGCGGACTTGTTGACTACACTCGAAATTCACTTGTTATTTCCTTATAACACCAAAGTCGGATGGCAATCACTATGGTATAGTGTTTATTATGTTGAGACGCACTTTATGAGATATCTGACTTCTTTAGTTCTTGTATCACTGCAATATCGCTAGATATATATTGTTTTTCGCGGAACTCGTGCTCATGAGGCCCTTCCCATGTCACACCTCGACTTGGACTGCTGGACTGTCAGGGCGTTCCAAGGCGACTTGGACTGTCCCCCGCCTCGGCCGGGAATCGAACCCGAGCCCTTAGTACTACGACTCCATAGCGCTGTCCACTCAGCCGCGAGGCCCCTGTGTACGATGAACACTGTGAGTGTGAGTTGGGTATGAGGACGTGTACGTTGAACACTGTGAGTTCATATGATCATTATGCTTTTCAGTAAAGTGTTCGGATGGGAGCTTGGACTGGACCATCGAGCACCAGCTGCAGCTCTCAGACAGGTCCCTGGACAACTGTGTCCGGGCCAAGATTGGTGAAGAATCCCACACATTTACAGCCAAGTTTTACGACCAGTCACAACACCTCTTTAAATACCACATTGAGCTAGAGGTAAGTTAGACGTATAATGAAGCAGAAGATTTTCTAGAATTAATTGACGATTGCTTTCTTACGCAACACATAAGGAACCAACGCGGGGAAATAATATTTTAGATTTAGTGTTAACTAACATGGAAACACAAATTAAGGATATCGAAATAGGGAGTGAGCTAGGGAACAGTGATCATAAAGAAATCAGATTTAGCATAGAATGGAATAGATCTGTAGGAGAAAATTCTGTTAAAGTGCCTGAGTTTCGAAAAGCTGATTTCAACAGCCTAAGAAATTTTTTGGGTCAAATAGATTGGAATGTCTTGGGTACGGGGTGTGGGCTAGACGTGAACCCAACGACAGGTGATGTAAAAGGGGATTTCGATGTGGATTCAAAATATAACCTATTTAAAAATATTCTAAGCGAAGCCCAGGAACGTAGTATACCATATAAATTGAATAGATCGAATACTAATGATCCAAAGTGGATAACAAAGGATCTGAAGAACCTTATAGGTAAAAAGAGAGCGTGGTACAAAAGGATTAAGAATGGGGAAGTCAGCTAGGAACAGGAATTCGCACAACTGGTTACAAATGTTAAAAAAGAGATAAGGAAAGCAAAAAGAAACTACGAAGTTCGCATAGCAGGGCAAGCGAAGACAAATCCTAAAGTTTTTTTTTCGGTTATATCGAACTAAGACTAGGGAAAGGATAGGTCCATTAAACACTGAGACAGGTCAAATAACGGATAATGACGAGGAGATGAGTAGTATTTTTAATAAATATTTTGTATCTGTATTTACTAAAGAGGAACTTAACAATATGCCTTCAGCCGAACAAGTCTATGTGGGTGGGGACGAGGACAGGTTGACTAGTTTAGCAGTTACCAGGGAGGATGTAATTAAACAAATAGTAAAACTAAAACCAAACAAATCCCCAGGGCCGGATGAAGTGTTTGCCAGGGTGCTTAAAGAATGCAAAGAGGAGCTTTCCGAGCCACTGTCTACCATATTTAATAAATCAGTAGAGTTAGGCAGAGTGCCATAGTCATGGAAGGTTGCAAATGTGCTACCAATTTTTAAAAAAGGAGATAGATCACTTGCGTCAAACTATCGACCAATTTGTTGGATTTCTGGGGCTTGACTCATATATTCAATTATTTGAATATTGTATTTAAATAAATCGAAGGACCACCCACTTTTGAGAAAAGGGGGAAAACTAGTAAAAGTGATCATTAGAATGACACTAGAGAACCAGTGTCTATGGATATTAATTAAATGAATAATCACTTGAAAATAATAAATAGACTGTAGTATTAATTAATTAAAGACAAAGCCTCAAATATCAACATTGGGGGGGGTGTATTTCTAGAAGTTCATATACATCTAGGAACCAGTGTGGTTCGTCACTAGTTCATTGTTGAGTTAGTTACATAGTAAATCTAAACTACAATAGATTCAAAGATATGATAACTCAATTTATGAATATTAAAGATTATGAATTACTGAGCAACAGTCAGAGCAAACACATTAATTGCCAAATCATCATTTCTGGCAATAAATTATTCACTGTAAAGATCCTATATGAATTATATGGAAATCAGTAATAATATTAGATAAATTTGTACAAAATAAATGTCTTATCTGTAAGACGATTTCTGTAACGCCATTTCGTCATTCGTCCTCGTGGTCACAGGATCCCAATAAAGAAAGAACCCGAGGTGAATATCACGAATGATGAGAAACAACTTGTCGACTCCTCGTATACACGCTGAAATCAGAGAAATTTAAGTAGCATTTGATTGGGCTACGAATTATTTCAAATATTCATGTAAACAGAGAAATTGTTGAAAATAAACTAACGTTGTGTATTAGGTATCCATGCTGTATAACGACAGACTACCCACAAATATACAATCTTGAATGATGCATCAAACGAGAATGGTATACTTAACATGAGCGTATCAAATACTAAGGTCTGCCGAAACCGCGTCAGCCAGTCCCAGGCGTCCACTACTGTGTACGTGTAATTACGGGTCGTGGCTTCAATTGTTGATGCGTTATTAACTAGCAGGGCACTATAGAACACGTGAATACGTAATTGTTGACTATTAACCGGGTATCAACGTAATTCTTGTCGATAAAAACTCCCCAGTCACTACCACGTGTCTCGCCACTCTTCTCGCCAGGGATGTCTCGTCTACAATGGCATCTCCGCTTTCCCTCAACCCGTCTCTCGCATTCACCACAGAAATTATTAATCACGGATAATTCTTTTCCGCGTAATTAAGGATGTAATACGTTAATGAGAACTGGGTTGCAATTATAGGGACTTAAATATTATCATATTCTCGTTTAATGGTGTTAAACGAGAAATGGAGAAGATTTTTATTCTCCGTAGCATTCGTACGTAACAGATAAAACTGCTACTTGATAACAATTTCAGTTAATAACTCTCGGTTTTAGATTATCGGGAGTCATAATATCCGTAGGTAATTATTACACGGAATACTGATAATTTTAGAGAACCACATTCAATTCTCTAACACATTGGTAATAAACGTGTCTATCTAGACATTATCTGACGCAATTTTGCTACTCGATTTCATAAGAATTCTAGCACTAATACGCAGATGAAATGGTTTAATTTATGTTTACACTACCGTAGTGAAATTAGTAACTACTGTAGTTAGTATATAATGATGATGATGTGTTATAATACAATAGTAGTTTATTAGCGTTGGAAACTTCCAACACAATTAGCCTAACGTCTATTGTGGGAAAGTTACTTGAATCGATAATTGCAAATAAATTTCGTCTTCATCTTGAAAAGCATAACTTAATAAATGAGTCGCAACATGGTTTTACAAATGGCCGTTCATGTTTAACAAATTTTCTATCTTTTTTATTCCAGCATAGTTGAGGCAGTTGATAGCGGTAAGGATTGTGATGTTGTGTACCTTGACTTTAGCAAAGCTTTTGATACAGTGCCACATGAAAGACTGATTAAAAAAATAGAGGCTCATGGTATTGGAGGTGCTATATTAACTTGGATTAGGGCATGGCTATTCAAAAGGAAACAGAGAGTTAGTATAAATAACGTTAAGTCAGAGTGGGATAATGTTGTTAGTGGAGTGCCTCAAGGCTCTGTCCTGGGACCTCTGTTGTTTATAATATATATAAATTATTTAGATTCCGGTTTGAGTAGCAACATCTGCAAATTAGCAGATGATACAAAAATCGGTAGGGAAATTAATACGGAAGAAGACTCACTATCACTTCTAGTTTATCTAAATAGGGTTTTGAAATGGTCAAAAGATTGGCAGATGCAGTTTAATGCTGATAAATGTAAAGTTCTGAGGCTAGGTAATGATGATAGAGTTACAAGATACAAGCTAGATGGTGTTGAGATTGCGAAAGGGATCTGGGAGTTACGATTAGTAAGAATTTATAACAAAAAGATCAATGCAGGAATGTTCGTAATAAGGCAAATAGGACACTGGGATTTATTAATCGAAGCGTTAGTAACAAGACACCTGGTGTGGTTCTTAAGCTATATCTTGCTCTGGTTAGGCCCCATTTAGATTATGCAGTTCAGTTTTGGTCGCCGTACTATAGAAAGGATATAAATTCACTTCAACGTGTCCAGCGTAGGATGACTAAGTTAATTCCCAAATTAGAAATCTTTCATATGAAGAAAGATTAGCAAAGCTTAAATTGCATTCACTGGAAAAGCGAAGAGTTATGGGTGACATGATAGAGGTTTACAAGTGGATGAATAGACATAACAAAGGGGATATTAATAGGGTATTAAAAGTATCAACACAAGACAGAACACGAAACAATGGGAATAAATTGGATAAGTTTAGATTTAGGAAAGACTTGGGTAAATACTGGTTCAGTAACAGGGTTGTTGATTTGTGGAACCAATTACCGCGTAACGTGGTGCAGATGGGGTCCCTTGATTGTTTCAAGTGAGTGTTGGACATGTATATGAGTGGGTTTTGGTGGTTATAGATAGGAGCTGCTTCGTATGGGCCAATAGACCTTCTGCAGTTACCTTTATTCTTATGTTGTGTGCTGGGCGAGGTAGCCTTGTTTTACCAGGTGTGCTACACACGTGGTCCAACACATCCCATCAGGCAAGTGTTGTAACAGGTGCGCTACACACGTGGTGCAACACATCCTATCAGGCCAGTGTTGTACCAGGTGTGCTACACACGTGGTACAACACATCCCATCGTGCCAGTGTTGTACCAGGTGTGCTACACACGTGGTACAACACATCCCATCGTGCCAGTGTTGTACCAGGTGTGCTACACACGTGGTACAACACATCCCATCGTGCCAGTGTTGTACCAGGTGTGCTATACGCCTTTTTCTCACATTTCTCACACATCAGGGACCACCCAGGCCACACATCAGGGACCACCCAGGCCACACATCAGGGACCACCCAGGCCACACATCAGGGACCACCCAGGCCACACATCAGGGACCACCCAGGCCACACATCAGGGACCACCCAGGCCACACATCAGGGACCACCCAGGCCACACATCAGGGACCACCCAGGCCACACATCAGGGACCACCCAGGCCACACATCAGGGACCACCCAGGCCACACATCAGGGACCACCCAGGCCACACATCAGGGACCACCCAGGCCACACATCAGGGACCACCCAGGCCACACATCAGGGACCACCCAGGCCACACATCAGGGACCACCCAGGCCACTGTTCACACACCAGGGACCACCCGGGCCACACACCAGGGACCACCCGGGTTACACACCAGGGACCACCCGGACCACTGTCCACACACCAGGGACCACCCGGGTCACACACCAGGGACCACCAGGGCCACTGGACACACACCAGGGACCACCCGGGTCACTGGACACACACCAGGGACCACCCGGGCCACTGGACACACACCAGGGACCACCCGGGCCACTGGACACACACCAGGGACCACACAGGCCACTGGACATACACCAGGGACCACGAGGGTCACTGGACACACACCAGGGACCACCCGGGCCACTGGACACACACCAGGGACCACCCAGGCCACTGATCACACACCAGGGACCACCCGGGTCACTGGACACACATCAGGGACCACCCGGGCCACTGGACACACACCAGGGACCACCCGGGCCACTGGACACACACCAGGGACCACCCGGGTCACTGGACACACACCAGGGACCACCCGCACCACTGATCACACACCAGGGACCTCCTGGGCCACTGGACACACACCAGGGACCATCCAAGCCACTGGACACACACCAGGGACCACGAGGGTCACTGGACACACATCAGGGACCACCCGGGCCACTGGACACACACCAGGGACCACCCGGGTCACTGCACATACACCAGGGACTACCCGGGCCACTGGACACACACCAGGGACAAGGAGGGTCACTGGACACACACCAGGGACCACGAGGGTCACTGGACACACACCAGGGACCACGAGGGTCACTGGACACACATCAGGGACCACCCGGGCCACTGGACACACATCAGGGACCACCCGGGCCACTGGACACACACCAGGGACCACCCGGGCCACTGGACACACACCAGGGACCACGAGGGTCACTGGACACACATCAGGGACCATCCGGGCCACTGGACACACCCCAGGGACCACGAGGGTCACTGGACACACACCAGGGACCACCCGAGCCACTGGACACACACCAGGGACCACCCGGGCCACTGGACACACACCAGGGACCACGAGGGTCACTGGACACACATCAGGGATCTCTCGGGCCACTGGACACACACACCAGGGACCACCCGGGCCACTGGACACACACCAGGGACCACCCGGGTCATTGGACACACACCAGGGATCTCGCGGGCCACTGGACACACACCAGGGACCACCCGGGCCACTGGACACACACCAGGGACCACCCGGGCCACTGGACACACACCAGGGACCACGAGGGTCACTGGACACACATCAGGAATCTCTCGGGCCACTGGACACACACCAGGGACCACCCGGGCCCCTGGACACACACCAGGGACCACCCGGGCCACTGGACACACACCAGGGACCACCCGGGCCACTGGACACACACCAGGGACCACCCAGGCCACTGATCACACACCAGGGACCACCAGGGTCACTGGACACACACCAGGGACCACCCAGGCCACTGATCACACACCAGGGACCACCCGGGTCACTGGACACACACCAGGGACCACCCGGGTCACTGGACACACACCAGGGACCACCCGGGCCACTGGACACACACCAGGGACCACCCGGGTCAGTGGACACACACACCAGGGACCACCCAGGCCACTGATCACACACCAGGGACCACCCGGGTCACTGGACACACACAAGGGACCTCCCGGGCCACTGGACACACACCAGGGATCACCCAGGCCACTGATCACACACCAGGGACCACCCGGGTCACTGGACACATATCAGGGACCTCCTGGGCCACTGGACACACACCAGGGACCACCCGGGACACTGGACACACATCAGGGACCACCCAGGCCACTGGACACACACCAGGGACCACCCAGGCCACTGGACACACACCAGGGACCTCCTGGGCCACTGGACACACATCAGGGACCACCCGGGCCACTGGACACACGTCAGGGACCTCCTGGGCCACTGGACACACATCAGGGACCTCCCGGGACACTGGACACACATCAGGGACCTCCCGGGCCACTGGACACACATCAGGGACCACCCGGGACACTGGACACACATCAGGGACCTCCCGGGACACTGGACACACATCAGGGACCACCCGGGACACTGGACATACATCAGAGACCACCCGGGACACTGGACACACATCAGGGACCTCCTGGGCCACTGGACACACATCAGGGACCACCCGGGACACTGGACACACATTAGGGACCTCCCGGGACACTGGACACACATCAGGGACCACCCGGGACACTGGACACACATCAGGGACCTCCCGGGCCACTGGACGTACATCAGGGACCACCCGGGACACTCGACACACACCAGGGACCTCCCGGGACACTGGACACACATCAGGGACCTCCCGGGACACTGGACACTCATCAGGGACCTCCCGGGACACTGGACACACATCAGGGACCTCCCGGGACACTGGACACACACCAGGGACCTCCCGGGACACTGGACACACATCAGGGACCTCCCGGGACACCTTTTTTAGTAGTGTTTGTATATGTAACAAAAATTTTTGCCAAGGTAAATATAAATGCCGAATTTGCCAAAGGTGCCTGAAGCATTGTTCTTGCTGTTATGAAGGTGTTTTCCAACCAGAATTAAACCCAATTTTTCCCCAGTTAAATCATCGCCCATAGCAACAAATGATCGCTTAATTAAACAAAGGTTCCAATTAGAACCATTATTTGTTGCGGCGGAGTTGAGGCGTCACCGAGGTGGGGCTCGGGTGATGGGCTCTTACTCAGTAATGCAGAGAAAATGTGGATATTTGTAGGCCGCACCTTGTCCTAGTACTTACTATTTCCACGCTACCGACCGTAACGTTCAAAATGTGGCGTATTAATTTAAGGAACGGGTTAAAGAGACGGAAATCAACAATAGAGCCACACGATTGCTGGAGGAAATATTGCGGCGACGCTCGGGTCATATTAACTGGCCAGAATCATCAGACGCAGTCTCCAGAAGTCAATGTTGAAATCACGAAAACGATCATATTAGAATCCCTGTGACAGTTAATTATTGTTAAGAACCATCATTAAGATCACTTTCGAGTGTTCGCTGTCGAGTTACGACGAACAGAGGAAATTTCTCATGATTGATAATATATCATTTGAATGTTGCTAACACGAGAAGACCGTCTCCCTGAACAGTCGTCAACTAACTGATGATGATGCAAGGCCTATGAAACTATCACTCATGAGAATCTCCGTGACAAGTTTAAGGCCCATCATGTGGGGCAGGTTATCCTAAGTCAGACTAGGGCTTTGTTACTTAACATAGATAAAATTAAGTTGTAGTGGAAAACCGTTGTAAGTGTTAAGTCTCCGGGCTCTGTCCTGCGTGTTCACCATGTGCATTTAGGCAAAGGTTAGAACAACAACATTTGCAGACGATCCAAAAATAGGACCGAAAGTAATTTCATATGAGGACAAAATCACTAGAAGACGATATAGATATGCTTCAAAGTGGACGAAAGATAAGCAGATGCAGTTTAATGTTGAAAAATGTAGAGTTCTGGGCTTAGATAAAAATATTAGTGTTACCAGATAAAATCGACACCACAAATGCCACACTCTACGACTCTGGTACTCTGCTCTGCTCAAATAATGTATTGAACATACACGCTAAGCGGATTACACAGCTCATCATTACATTTGTTTAAGCATCCTGGGGAAACGCCTAGTTTCGTCTGGTCTCGGGGGACTCGATTGGTTATTATTATTCTATTTATTTAAGAACATCAGTCCCGGTAACTACTAAACTAGTGAACTTACCCTCACCACCTACATATAATAATGTAGTTAAGTGCAAGGTATAATGCTAGTTCTTTTTTAGAAAACACAGAGAAAAAAGTTTTTCTTTAAAATACCACACATATGATTGTTGTAACCATTTACTTTTTTTTGACGTGTCTGAGTTAACACTGGCCTAGTCTTCCTCCTAATACATTTGCTTGATATAATATTTAAGAAATCAGGATTTTTAATTATCTTTCCTGCTAAGCACACTTCATTATTCTTTTCGTTTATTCAGGTGGGTACAGAAGCAGACTGACTCCTGTAAACAGGCTGAGAGTTCTTCAAAGCATTTCTAGTATCATTAACATTTCTAACTAGTTTGACAAGTGTAGAATTAGATAAACTTCCTCGGTACTAATTCTTTTGTATATAGCTTTCTTTTTGGGGGGATGAGGTTCTTTAGTCTAATTGGTATCCATTTGGGGTTTCTGTCATTCGACATGATCAATTTGTATAGTATACTATGTTTTTTGTGTTTACTTACAATGATTGTAAATGAGTTTGAATTGGAATCATTACAATCCGTTGTCATACCACCCAGGATAGACTCGGGTCGCATCCCAGTGTTCCCTCACATCTCATGTTCAGGTCTGCTTAATCTACTTCACCCAAGAAAAGCGTTAATCCCTAGAAATCTGTTTATCTGAAACCTGGCGCCCTAACCGTTGGCTCTCACACAACGTTTTCCACGCCATGTCTAACGTGATTCATTTGTTACCATTGTTTCTTCCTTTCTCGCTATTTGGGGATTTATTAGTGTTACCAAAGTAGCTTACAAAGAGTCTTAAATAACATGAAATACTTTTTAATTCGTTCGTTTGCACCAATCTCACTCGACCTAGGCCGAATGCAACACGTTTCCCGAAACCTCAGTTGTTCCTGTTTATATCTAGTGCTGCTTTATGCTTATCCTCGTATCTACCCTGGAAGTATTGTCCCACCTACTGAAAGGCAGACAATGGACTGAGACCAATTGTTTATATCCTAACATTGTACGATTGTGGCTCAGATATGCAACTTTTATTCTGAATGTGCAAAACTAAACTTTTCAGTCAATGTTCTGCATATGTAAGCCAAGTGGCGAGTGCTCAGCTCTCTCATATTTGTTTGTGTTGCAGATCAGTCTTCCAGCATGGCACTTCAGCTACGTGGACATGCTAGAACAACGTGCAGGAGGCGAGATGGTGGGACACAGCACCACCGTCATGCCGTCTGGCAGAGTCCACACCTCATCCTCCAGATATTTCAAGAGCAATGTTAATAATACGTTTATCTTTGAATTTTCTTATGACATTCTTGTCAGGGATGGCCTTCGAACGTGGAAAATATTGTAAGTTATAAATACAAAAAGGATGCGACTTCTTCGCAAAATATTTCTGATGAATAAATATTTCTATTAACCACTATTAGTATTTAGAATTGTTAAATACATAGTGCAGAGAAATATTTTTTTTTTTATAAATGCTGAGTATATTTAATTTTTCAGAATGGAGGAATCGTTTGAGTGGTCAGGAAGACATATAAGCCTGGAGGCAAGTGTAAGGGAAGGGGAAGAGGCTGTCACAGGCCTGGAGGTCTCCCTCAAGGGACTCAACTCACCTCAAGTTGACTTCTACTTTAAACATTTTGTGAGGGACTTATACAAGTGCCAAGCCTCGCTGAAGAGTGAGGGACATGAGACAGATCTCGGAGTCACTCTCCTCATCATTCCTTTCAACAGGGAGATTACGAGTAAGTTTACTGGAAATAAAGTAGTCTTTAGAGTTATGAAACGAAGAGTTCAAACATAAATACACGATAACCTAAAGACATCTAACGCAAGCCAGTACAGTCTAACGCTCCCCCTCAGTATCCAGCCTGTGGCCGACATGAGGGAGTTTGGTGGGTGGTTGTTGGAGTGTGATGCTCCTTGGGCTGGCATTTCGTTTATCTTTTTTGAGCCTTGTGCTCCTGTAGCCACCTCAACTAATTTTGCTGGATCCTCTCCACCTCTTCTCGTTTCTGGTTGATCCATGCTGCTGACTCGGATCCGTTATTGATTATTCTTTCTATCGCCTGCATCTGTTGCAGGCAATAGAATTCGCCTTGCAATTCTGTTGCCAGGCGAATTGAAACGGCATTTTGTCTCACCCGTAGAACTGGAGTATGTGACATGTTGGTGTGAGGGGTAAACCTTTATATCAAACCTTGCCTTCGTTAGTGAACCCAATCTCGACGGACTGACAGTTCTTTAGGTGACGATTGTGAGGTGTATATTCACAATGCACCTTTGGGAAGGTCCTGTTTTCTCGGGTTCTCTATCCTCTAATTGTGGCTCCATGGTGGGTGTATGGGCTTAATCATGGATGATTTTTTCTGACCCTCCTTTCCATTCTCACTCATGGAGTGGACGACAAGGTCCCTGAGTCAAATCACAATAGAAGGACAGGTTCTGTATCCCTGGCTGTGTTGGACCCAGACCCGGCTTTGTTTGTGATTTATCCTACCGACTCTCCCTGCTCCCCTTCAGCTTCTGTAGTTGGGTTGAGCTCCAAGCCTTCAGCGGTGACAACTTTGTCCCCTGATGTGGCTCCTACTATGTTTATTAAAAATGTGCCATTCCACCCCCATCTTTTTTAGGGGATCGGCACCGTACCCATGATAGCATTAGCTTGTTTCCTGCTTCACTTCTTACTTTCCAGGATTTGTTCTGTCCCACTTCGTGGCCTAAGTATTATGATCGTTGTCCCAAGGACCCTGCCCGTCCTGACGATGTGCATGTACATCGACACTTGGTTGATTCCCAGGCTTGGTTGACACTTGGTTGTGGATTCCCAGGCTACTTTTAACCACACTCACTGACATGCATGTGGTTGCGGCCCCCTTCTCAAGAAGTGGCCGCTCGCCTTGCTACTTTGTCCTGCCTTGGTGAGACCCAGGTTCAGGTGTCTTAGAATATCCTGTTGGATGCCAACGTTGGTACTGTTGTTCTCTCGCACCATGTTGTGACTGCTGCTCGGGACCTCCAAGACTACCATGAAGATCTTAAGTATATCTTTGAGGGCCCAGGGCTTTTCCACCCACCGTATTTACTCCTTTACTCGTCCCCTTCATGCCCATCGTCTTCGTTCTCTTCATACTGTTAAGATCACTTTTGATGGAGGGCCCTTAATCCCATCTTCTGTCATTCTTGCGGGTGCCCGATGTTCGAGAATACATTCCTTCCACACCCCTGTGCAGTAGGTGTCGGCAGTTTGGTCATGGTTCTTCCAGGTGCAGCTGCGATGTGCCACTATGCCCCTTGTGTGGTGACCCCTGGTCACCCTTCTACTAATTGTTCCCAAACTCACCGCCTCAACTGTAGGAGAGACCCACCCTGCCTTTTCTCGGTCATGCATCCATTATAAGATTGAGCAGTCTGTCCTCACTTTGAAGCATCGAGATCGTATTTCTTTTCCTTAGGCTCGGCGCCAGGTCCACCATCTTAACACTTCCTCTTCCATTACTTATGCTCGTGCGTTGTGTCTTACTACTATTCCCCGCCCTCCTTCCCTGCCTTCATTCTCTAATCGTTTCCAACCCTTGGATCCCTTCACCTCCACCAGCTGCCCTTCTGCTCTTGTCGTTTCTGAGCCAGTTCCTCTTCCTTCTCTGATGGTCGTTCATCTCCTACTAGCCCGGTTACCACTACTTTTATCCACCCTCCTCTTTCTTGTGCCCTCCTTCACTTTTCGCTACCATCTTTCTTCTCAGTCTTCTGTCTCTTCTTTCCACACACACCTGTCCCTCCAGGTTAATATCCATTCTCCTCATATTCCTCTTTGTATTTCTCACTCTCGTTTTCTTTCTCCGTCTGAGACTGGAGTCCGTTGCCCAGTGCGTCACTACTGGCACGCCTGTTTCTCAGTCAGAAATTAAAACCTGGTTCCTCTCCCCTCCCCCTGGTTATCTTGAGGTTATCTTGAGATGATTTCGGGGCTTTAGTGTCCCCGCGGCCCGGTCCTCGACCAGGCCTCCACCCCCAGGAAGCAGCCCGTGATAGCTGACTAACACCCAGGTACCTATTTTACTGCTAGGTAACAGGGGCATAGGGTGAAAGAAACTCTTCCCATTGTTTCTCCCCGGCGCCTGGGATCGAACTCAGGACCACAGGATCACAAGTCCAGCGTGCTGTCCGCTCGGCTCCCTGTGGATAAGAAGGCTTCTGTCCTTCCTGCACTTTCCTCCACCGTCATGGTTCCTGCATGTTCTGCCTTAGTAGTGGAGTCATCTGATCTGGCCATGGTCATTGATGATGATGATGAAGATTAAGCCACCCAAGAGGTGGCACGGGCATGCTCATTTCTATTATCCATGTCTTGTATCCTGTCCCTGGTGAGGTGCTCCATGCTGTTTCCGTTGGTGTTTGATCACCTGCCCCCTCTCAGGTGCCTCCTCCTCCTTCTTCTGACTCTGCCATCTTCGCTGGACTTACCTTTACCCCCCCCCCCACCCCTCCCCTCCTCATCGACCTGGAATTCACTGCCCCTGCTTCTGATCCTCCTTAATGGTCTTTACTTTTGGGTTTTTCTTTTATTTTTATTTCCCTCTGTTCTTTTCTGTGTATTCGTCACTATAATATTTGTTGTTCCTTTGCAAGTGTTTCTGTGCTCCAACTTTTCCTTTCTCAGTTTTCACAGCCATGGTTATGACCCCAGGAGCCGATGCTCACACTCGTCCTCGTCTCTTCTGCAGGTATATCTTATTTTCCTCTCCTCCAGCTTTTGCTGAAACTAATAACGCCACTGCTCTCTTGATCCAGAATGCTGTTTCACTTTGTTCTTCTTCTCTTCCGTCATAAGGTTCATTCTTCTGCTGCTCGTATCTTTGTTGGTAAATGGTATACTGTTTGTTCCATTTATATCCCCCCCCCCCCTCAGGTTTCTCTCTCACTTCCCGATCTTAGCAGCTGTGAGAGTATCCTTTTTAGGGGTGAATAGGTTACAAGAAACATCAGTCAGGAAAGGACTGAACTAGCATCAAACAAATGCTGAGGGCAGATTATACTTTTATGCTGACCAGGGATGCATAGAGCAGCTGCACGAGTCCAAATCCTTGGCACTCCTTGTCCACTGGGTCGTGGAGCTTCTAGGGGCCTCAGAGGGAGGTCATCAGAGTAGCTCATGTGATTCTCACACGAAATAGAATTTATTTGATGTGTGTGGCCATGAACGCAGTTCAAATCCAAGTAATCCAGGCAACATAAAAAGGGGATCACGTTGATAACAGAAATAACGGAAAAGTCAGTACTGGGTACAAGGGGTCTGAAGGTGTGAATGTAAAGACACTTGTATTTAACATTTAGTTTATTCATAACACTTAATGCTAACGATACATGGCAAGAATAGTCTGACGTTACGTTAATGTCTGTCGTGGTGCTTGACAAGGCTAGGCTAGCCGGAATCAATGCTTCCGGTTTGGACTGCTCGCGGTATCGCTAACCCTGTCTACACTTAACAATAGTGGGCAACCACTCCAGACACAATGGCAGCTCGACGAGACTGCAGCAAGTAGCAATAACATACAATTGAAAAAAACAACGGCCCCACGTTGGTGCCAGAAGTGAGATCCGTGACCAGCGTGGGGTGACTGTTGACTGAAACACAACAATAGACAGACCTGTCACTGAGACGAGTCTTCCGTGAGCTGTCAAAGCTTGACAGCTCACTTAATTCACGAATAATTAACGTTATAGCTCGGCGTCACTGAGCCCGCTTAACCAACATCGATCAGTCAATACGATTACTAATCACCGCGTATTAAATCATTTGATAATTAATTACGTTCAATTAATACACTGTCTCAAGAACAAAAAAAAAATACACTGACTACTCCAGAATAATGAGCACAAATATACTGACGGACGCCAGATATAAGATCTGGGATCAATGAATACTGAACACTGAGTTACACTGATATCTCAAAGATAATTGAACGCAAGTATACTGACGTCTCAAGAATGAGTGAACACAAGGTATACTGACGTCTCAAGAATGAGTGAACACAAGGTATACTGACGTCTCAAGAATGAGTGAACACAAGGTATACTGACGTCTCAAGAATGAGTGAACACAAGGTATACTGACGTCTCAAGAATGAGTGAACACAAGGTATACTGACGTCTCAAGAATGAGTGAACACAAAGTATACTGACACCTCAAGTTAGTGTAAGAGCAGAGGTGCAACAGGTTCACACTCGTCCTGGAACTCTATCAACATCAGAGAGAGAACTCTATCAACATCAGAGAGAGAACTCTATCAACATCAGAGAGAGAACTCTATCAACATCAGAGAGAGAACTCTATCAACATCAGAGAGAGAACTCTATCAACATCAGAGGCCCGAGACTGTTCAACACGCTTCCACTACACATAAGGGGCATAACTGGCCGACCCCTCACAGTGTTCAAGAGAGAACTGGATAAGCACCTCCGAAGGATACCTGATCAACCAGGCTGTGACTCATACGTCAGGCTGCGAGCAGCCGCGTCCAACAGCCTGGTTGATCAGTCCGGCAACCAGGAGGCCTGGTCGACGACCGGGCCGCGGGGACGCTAAGCCCCGGAAGCACCTCAAGGTCAAGGTAAGGTAGTGAACACGAAGTTAAACTGACGTATCGCAATACTGAACACAAAGTTACACTGACATCTCGAGATTCTGAACACAAGTTACACTGAGTCACACACCAATACGGGTTATAGAGACCAACAATAA